CACACTAAATAAAAAGAGAATGTTGCATTCAGCTTATTCCCACAGCATAAGCCCTCCTCAGTCAGGAAGTCAATACATCAACTGTCTTTCCTCTGCAGCATACGAGTTCTCACCTTGGATGGCTAGAGGCTGGGGACCCATAATACACAGGGACCCTTCTCTAATAAATTAACATACGTGGTCCATGGGATGCACAGAGATGCTGCCATGAATTTTTTTTTTCATAAAAGAGAAATCCCAGCATCACATATACTATGCACCAGCTTTCATTATCTATGAACACGGGCTAGAAGAAAACTGGAATCAAAGACAATAAACCTCAAAATGGGCATCTGGCAACCACTAAGGAGCACTTGATTCTGGGGTTCCAACCTGTAGCACAAGGATGGCACGAAAGTTTCTATTTAGGCTTCATCTCTAGAGGATGATTTGATTTTCTAGAATCACTTTGCCTGGGATTGGGCTGCAGTGAAATATCAAGGCACCTGACAGGGTCAGTGGCCATCTGAAAGGGCTTTTCAAAGGGATGATATAATGAGCTGAGTAACTCCAGTCTGAAAATGTCACACAGTGCTCCCCAAAGTTGCAATTATAAGTCCTTGCAGTTCTGCATGAGCCAGATAATTGCTTCCTTCCCGCTCTACAGGAACACGGAACAAGGTCCTGAATACAGGCCATAAATCTTGGGGGGACAAGATAAAGCATATGCTGATTTCCAGCATATTTTCATAAGAGTCTGTCTAGGGAAATTTCCCCAAATTAATGAGGATGTTTGTGGGCAATAAATTAAAGAAGACCATTCTAGTGAATTCTTAAATGTGGACCTATAAATCAAAAGGAAAATGCATTTTACACAAGCCGCATTCAGAATGTGGAAGTCTGGAACTCCGGCTTCCATCCTCATACCTGGGCTCCCCAGAGTCATTCTCCTCCTCTTCCTCCTCACTTCCGCTGTACTCATATTCAGTCTCATCTGGAGAGAGAGTCATAGGATGTTAGTGCACAAGATGTGTCACTGCTCAGAGGAGAGCACCCCTCCCTTTCACATATAGTCATGAGATGTGAAGCACTGTGGTCAATGGACCACAGACATAACAGCGATCCATAAAGTAACAATGGAGCTGAAAAATTCTTACTGTCTAGTGACACAGGAGCTGTCCTAACCTCAGGATAATAATGCATTGCTCACCAATCTGTGGTGGTGCTGGTGTGAGGTGGCACATCAAAGTCTATCACATAAACACATGTGCAGTGTGTACTATTTAATAAGGACAAAGGAATATGCCACTGATTTATAACACACTCCTACACTAAAAGCTCATGGTTCTGGGAATAGCTCAGTGGTAGAATACTTGCTTAGCATGTAGGTAGCCCTAGGTTTAAGCTGCACTCTGGAAAAAAAAAAGTTAAAAAAATAGTTAAAATGTGCTTTGATTGATCCACTGGGGATCCTCATTTAATTCAGGAAAATGTGAAACAAGTTGATATGTAATAATAATATTGAGTCTTTGGTTTAGAGGTGATCAAAATATAATAAGCAAGTCAAATATATAGGTATATGATCAGGGCTTCCATGGTTGTGAAGAAAGGGACCTGAAGTTATTCAGTGTCTCGCATGCAAGCAACTAGCGTAAGATTGTTTTAGAGCTGTTCCCTCATTAACAGTCCTTTAGCATGGGTGAAGTATTCAGAGGACAAAAGAGTGATGCCTTCACATTAAGGAAAGGACAATCTAGAATGTATATTTAGAATTCAGTCCCGAACTTTCCCAATATGAAAACCACAGCTTTTTTCCCACCCTAGTATATGCTGAGCAGAACTACAGAAAACTCGAGAGAAAGGAGAGAAGGGAGCAGGTTCCAATGTTGGACGATGATGGTGCAGTACTGAGGAGAAAGAAAGCAGGTCTTGGACGGCCACTGGCCCATCTGCGGGTGGCAGCTGGCTTCTGGGAGAGATAGGAAAATGGCAGTGCTAACAGTATGGGTACAAGTAAGGCTAGCAGTGCTGCTGGGCATGATGGGCTCAGGAAATAATCCATCCTGCGGAGCCAGGTGTCTGCACGTGGGAAAAGCAGATGGTGGGAGATCCACCAGGGATACGGCGACTCCCCAGTTCTTAGATATGCTGTGCTGAGGACTTTCCTGTGAGTGATGAGGAGTCTTTAGAGGAACTTTGAAGCAAAAGATGTCAGATGATTGCTAGCTCTTTATGGTTGTGGGTTAATAATTTCTACCTGGAAGACCCCTTCAAGAGGGCGTGAAATTGCAATTTTGTCATGTTACCCCCAGGAAGCAGCACTTGCATGATGAAAGCAGATTGGGCTACAAGCCTTGCTTTTCACACTACTTAGATATTAAAGAGATACTGAAGAAAAGTGTGATGAATTCAAGTGTATTTCATGAAAATTCCAACTTAGCCTCATCGTGTAGGTATGAACTTTTCAGGGCACCTATTTTTAAAGTATGATTTCACCAAAATATAAAGAACTTGCAATAAAATGTCTTAAGAATTAACCCTGAAACTTCAATATACCAAATGTTCTCAAAATGGATAAACAGTTCAAATGGAAATTTTATCTAATTAAAGGCATCATAGCAAAATAAAGAAGCACATAATTATTTTAATTTCTTCTACTGTCTAAGGTAAAACTTTCATTTGTCTGTCTCCTTAATTTGAACATCTCAGCAGAATTGAGTTTGATGGCTTTTATGCTATAGGAGTAAATCAATACATGTCAACATATATTAGGGAAAATATTACATTAGGAAAATCATAAAGTCATACAAAAAAATTTCTTGATTATACCAGAGGTTGGTCATGGAGAAATGTCAAATAATGTGAGAAGGGCTAGAGAGACAGTCTAGCAGCCAAGAGCACTTGCTGCTCTGGCAGAAGACTCAGGTTTGGTTCCCAGCACCCACATTGGGTGGCTCACAACCGTCTATAACTTCATTTCTAGGGGATCTGATGCCAACTTCTGGCCTCTGCGGGTACCTGCACACATAAGGTGCACATAAACTCATGCAGGTGCACACACACATATACATAAATGAAAAAAAAAATAAAAAAAATGAGAACGAGCAAACTAAGTCATCCATTCAAACCAAACAAATGGAAAGAGATCTCATCTGATCAAATACTCTTCCTTGGGAACAGACAAAAATAAGTCTAGAAGTATGTTTCTGGTGGCTTTGAGCACAACAACAATCCTGGTTCCTTTCACTCTGATACAGTTACTGCATACGCTTATTCCCAAGGTCCCACTATTCCATACTGCAGAGAAGGAGCACATCAGAAATAGCCTTCCTGTCCACATGGAAATTTCTGTGTTACACTCCAGGGTTGGTGGCCCCCTAATTTGAAAATGACCTGAAACAGAAATTTCTCCAACCTTTAAAAACGTTTATTTATTTATTTATTTATTTATTTATTTATATGTGTATGAATGTTTTGTCTGCACTATATGTAAGTGCACCCATGCTTCCAATACCCATAGAGGCCAGAAGAGGGCACTGGGTCACCTGGAACTGGAGTTAAGGATGGTTTTTAGCTACCATGTGGGTGCTGGGAGCTGAACCTGGGTTTTCTGCAAAAGCAGCCAGTAGTTTTAACCATGGGGCCATCCCTCCAGCGCCCAATTTTCTCAATCTTATTCATGGGTCATGAGTACATGAGTAAAAAAAATAATACCAGACAGTACAAAAAAAATGTTGAGTCAATAAAGAACTACTAAGAGTAGCTATCCGAGTTCACCTATACACCAGATATTATATTAAGCATTTCACACACATTTATTTTTTAATCTTTGCAATGATGCTCACCAATAGATAGTATTATCTTTATGCTCTCCCAGCCCTATTTTAGGTATGTGAAATCTGGGGTCAAGTTCACATAACCAACAAGAGGCATGATTAGAATATGAACCCAGAACCTGAATCCAGAAGCAATCTGAAAATTTAACCTAGTCGGTATATCCATAGTATAATAAAACATCCTTTTAAGAGAAGTTGGCATTTAATGGTTGGATGTTTGACATATTGTTCTCAAATATTCCTTTTGCATTTGATTTGATGGAGGGAATGGTGAGGATCATGATGGGCAAAAAGCAGTCTTAGACCTTTTTAACAATGACCAAAGCTTTTTCCTCAGGCTTAGCAGCTTCTGCTTGGCTGATCTCCCATGGGCCTGATGGAATGTCTTACCCCTCTCTACCCCTTGACAACTAGAGATGGAAGCCTCATGATCTCCCATTCCTGAGTCTCAGCTAACTAGACTCTTGCTGAACAAGGAACGTTCACTGAAGACCCCCCTCTCTGCCTTTCCTCCTCTTTGACTTTACCTATCCAACCCAGTCTCCTGACGGCCTCACCACTAAGCCTCAGCTCACACGCCTTGCAGTGTTACAGGCTTTAATTGTAGAGGCAAAGAAGGGAAATGCAGTTAAAGAGTTAGTGACTTCCATCTTGTGCTGCTTGCCACCCTCCACCGGCCCTTTACACGGAGGAAAAGGGGGACAGGGCAGAGAAGATGGAAGCAGGGAAAGGTGGATGCCCTCTACTCCACTCTCTGGTCCTCTGCCTTGTTCTCCATTGACCACACTCTCAGTAGCCATCTTTCTGTCTCTAAATTGTCCTGCTCTCCACCCAGTAAGTCCTTACTGCTTGCCATTTCTGTCTTTCATACTCCAACCTTACCTACCCACTACCTTATGGTCAGTTGGCCATAGCCCTGCCCCAGAGCATGCAAGCTTTCACCTAACTCAGGGAACGAGTCAGAGGGACTGGAAGCCTCCATTTCAACAACTTGGGCACAGCTCTAATGTCTGAAATCTGGGCTCATGTCCTTTCCAATGACACATCCATGACCTTCAGTTCAAAATCTGATGTTCCATGTTACTAGTCTGGTAACCTAATGATCTTTTCTATCACCGAAACTATAAAAATATGTTGTCTAACTTCTAAATAATTGAATTAGAAACCAGTCTCAGAGTACAAAAACTTAAATGTGGAAGACTGTCAGTATAGAAAAACGTCAACAGATGACTCCTTCAGGTTGCCTGTCATGTGTAGATAGATTTCAGTCTTTGAAACATGAATATTCATTTGAATTAAGAAAACCACTTGTCATTTTAAAGTGCCTCTCAGCATCACTCGGCATGGCTTTGTTCAGTAACTGGAAGATGTACTACATCTCAGAGACCTATTTTATCATGGGATTCTACTTCAACAGTGATTTCACTCCAGTGATGCCTGGGGCTGTGACCTCACAGGCAGCCCCTCACACTAAAGAGTAATGCAGGCCCATGTGAAATGTCCAGTTAGCTTTAAATACATCAAGAGCTCACGATTCGCCATCGTTTGTTTCCCATACTGAAATACAAATATGCACCTAACCTTTTTCTCCTCGCTTCTTCTTTGTTCTATCGATATGGTCCTTCAGCTGAATGCGGACCTGTCTCTCATTAGGTTGGTCTCGAATGAACGGGTGCTTCATCAATTGTTCTGTGGCTGGTCGCTGGCTGTGATTCTTCACCAAGCAGCTCTCAATAAATGACTGGAACTTTTTTGACCTGCCAACAAAAGAGATGAACGTACAGATACAATGACAGCCTAAAAGGAAGACAGATGTATCTTTCGAAATGTGGCATTAAAAAGAAAAAAGAGAGAGAGAGAAAAAAGATCCATATGGTCAGTAGAGAGATCAACCAATCACAAAATCAGTCTCTCACTCAATAATATTAGATACAGCAAAGGTCAAAGGCATCATCACCATCAGCATACAAATAAGGGTACATATGGTAATTATACACATGGAAGCATTTTCACACAGTATATATATATATATATATATATGTAACTACATAGACGACTGAAAGGAATCAAGGAAGAAAATAGGAATTCGGAGATGGACAGTGTCAGGAGAGAAAAAATGACTGTAGGAAAGCAATGACTCGGGTGGGTAGGAAATTGGGGAAAACCTGAAGCTAGAGGGGAGAATACTATGTACCAGGGAACAATGAGGTGAGCTGCCTAAAGGGACAGGAAAAATAAGCCAGAGAAAAGCAAAACCACTGTGGAGGGGAAGGGCGTGCACTTCGTAGGAATGAGTAAGACTTTCATAAGATAGAACAGGATGAGGCTAAATTTTTAAACAGTGATTAGCTATTGCTTTTGAACTTTGTTTTCCAGTTCATGAGAACAGGAATGTACAGGCTTTTTTTTTTTTTTTTTTTTTTTTGTCACCAATCTGAGTCCTTGGAAATTTAACTATAAAGAACTAAGTTCATATACCACATTTGTCTCCTTCTAGAAAGGCCCTATTTCCTCTAAGATAAACCCTATGCCAAGGAGGCCTGGGGGCAGGGCAACCTGGAGACAGACAGCAATTAGGGCAGCAAGGCCACAGTGTGGTAGAAATTACTGTGGACTTTAGCCATGATTTATGAATAGGGCATGCATGTTCTTGATGAAGAGCCAGAGCCACAGGTAATTAAGCTCACAGTCTTACAGCGTGCCTTTTCAAGGCTGTCCACAAACAGGTCAGAATTTCCGTTGGCACCCCCGACGTTGGCACCCCAGCATCTTGCCTACAGGGGGAGGAAATCCACTTTGCGCTCTCTGTCGCCCTCTTGTGACTGCACTGTAAAGCCTCCAAAGTAAGACCTCAAATTTCCCAACAGGAATATTTTTCCGAAACACATATTTTAGGTTTGATAGGTGTCCTTACACACAGAACATGATGGCCAGCATTTTATTCAACACCGAATGCATGAGAAGGGGGTGGGGAGATGGCTTGGCAGGAAAAGGCACCAACCACACAAATCTGGTGACTGGATCCTCACGTCAAAAGTCTCATGCCTGTTAGCCTAACATTACTACAGTGAGATGGTAGGCGGTGACTTAAGAAAGTTTCCTGGAAGCTTGGGGGCCAGCTAGCTCAGAGTACACAGTGTGGCACGAAGGACAGGAGAGCTGATCTCTGACTTCAACATGTGCCACGGTACATGCTTCCCTGTATGCACACCCACATACACTGGCACAGCAAATATGTAAATACTAAATATATATTATGTATATACCATAAAAAGCCAAGAGAGAACGCACATAGACTAGTCTCCTGTTTCTGCAGTCATAGGTCATAGCAGTGTCTCTCCATATTCCAGGAGTTTCAAATAATAAATTTTCTCTCTATAGATTTCTAAGCCATGTATAAACTTTAAAAATAACTGACATAGAAATAGAAGCAATGTACCACCCTTAGTGTCCTTCCAGGATGAATCAGGGTTGGTTATAATATGAATAGAAATAGTGATAACAGGAAATAACTGTGCACACGACTGTGGTGTCCTTCAGTGCATAGCTCTGTGTCTTCCACACTGGGAGTCCTCAGTGGTGTGAGGAAATGAGCAAGTCATCCTCATATCAAGAACACACTACCTGCTCTACACATTTGATGGATGGATGAGCATACCGATGCAAGTGCCTGACAAGGGCTGGGATGTGGCTATATTAAAATCTGTGCTTGAGAGGAACAGAAAAAGACCTGTGGGCTGGGGAGATGGTTCAGTGGGTAAGAACCCGAGTTTGGGTCCCCAAAACCCATGTCAAAAGCTGGTGTGGGGGTGTGCACCTGTAATCCCAAAGCCAGGAAGCAGACACAGGCAGATCCCTAGAGCTAGCTGGACAGCTACTCTGGCCAATCAGTGAGTTCCAGGTTCAATGAGAGACCCTGTCTCAAAAAATAAGATGGAGCGTGATAAAGGAAAACACGCAATGCTTTCAGCAGCCACAAACATGTGTATATGTGTACCTGCACATACCCACATGAACATATACATGCACCACAATAGGCACCCCTCCCCACCAGAGAAAGGAGTATCTGAAGAGATGGTATGATTTTCTTTCCCAGATCAGTGCAATAAATTTATATGGATATAAACATAGTAGTGTCTGAGCAGAGACTTTGAAAGAGAAAAATAATGGAAAAAGACTCCCCTAAGAAATAAACTGGAAATTATAAAGCTAATCCAAATAAAAAAATCAAACTCCACACAGGATTCTGTATGGTAGGAAAATCAGTATCAAAATGATGAAGACAAAAGCGACTTAAGACAGAAAACCACTGAATACTCACAAGGAACTCAAACAGCACTTCTGCATGCTGGAAGCTAGAAAAAAGGCCTTGATTTTTCTTTTTTATAAACTGTTCCACTATTAATTAGATGGTGATAAATAAATCACATTCAATTTGGAAAATGAGATCCAGACTCAATAGACTATACATTCCTTTCTCCAGCACTGAAATATAAAAACAAAAAAAGCCAGAGAACTCTCCAGATCTTCAGGGCAAAACAGTGTCTAAGACTCCAGCGCTCCATTACTTTAATGGAGCTATGTGAGTCCCTTTTTCAGAGCTCTCCTGGAAGGTGGGGAAGTCACGAGAGAATTCCTTTAGGTCCGAAGAACAGGATTAAGTGTATAGAAGAACAAAGCTGGTGTGTGCCCATTTCTTCTTCAGAGGAAGCATTTGAAAAGAAAGTGATGCTCACTTAAAACGCAGCCTCAGAGCTGGAGAGATGCCTCAGCGGTTAAGAGCATTGGCTGTTCTTGCAGAGGACCTGGGTTTGATTCCCAGCACCGACATGGTAGTAATAACCATCTGAACTCCACAGGGAATCCAATGCCCTCTTCTGACCTCCACAGGCATTGCATGACATGAGAACACCTACTTACATGCAGGCAATACACACATACACATAAAATAAAATAATAAACAAAATATCTAAAACACAGCCTCAAGCTAGGCATGTTGGTGCATGCCTGTAATCCCAGAAACTTGGAAGCCTGAGGCAGAGAGACTGTCCTGAGCCTGAGGTGAGCTTGGGCTACATAGTGAATCTGAGGACAGCCTGAAATACATAAGGAGACCCTGTCTCCATAACAAAACAAAACAAAACAAAACCCCTACGTCTTCAAAGAATGATTTACTTCTTATTTAAATTAGTGTAACCAACGAATCAATATGTTTAATTGCACATTTAATTACAAGAGAAAAGACTTCACAGATACTGTATGTTACCTGTTTGCTGGGTATTTTAATGGGCTCAAAGTAAATTAATATAACTGCATCCCTTGATTCTCTGCTGTTGGTAATTTTGTTTTATCTCTTATGGGTAAACTGTCAGTGACCTCCCCTAAAGTTAGTAATACTAAGTTGTCAAGACTTGGAATGAGATGTCAATGTCAGTGACTCATGTTGACAGTCTGAGGTTCCACAGACCCACATACATTAAGTTAGGGGAATTCAAAATGCCCCAAAGATGGTCATTAGCCATTATAATCAGGGGGGCTGGATGTTTTGGGTCATGTTTACATTCCCTAAATGCTATTTTGACTTTGGAAAAATTGCCATGGCCCTAACACTATTTCTCAGAACTACTTTCCTCTGTCTTAAGCTTCATGGCTTTGCATAAACTACCTCACTTTTCTAAGCCTATTTCCTTGTCTGTGCATTTCAGTGACACCCTGGCCTCACAACTCCTTCAGCACAAAGGCCTGTCTTTGTCCCACTGATGGAGTCAGAATCCTACCCATCATCCTGATAGCTTCCTTTCCTTCCCTCCTTCTGGAGGCAGCAACAGAGCTATAATGCCTTCTTTATCAGAAAATTAAAGGCCCAAAGAAAAACAGTGTTCCCACTAAGAGACTATCTGTTTGACACTCAGTAATGTTAGCTCAAGATGACTCTTACAATGAAGAGATCATGGCCTCTTCTGTTCCACAATGACACCTTGGTGATGTACTGATAGTACACACCACAAACAAAACTCAGTTGACCTGACTCTTCATGTAGGCAAACAACAGCTGGGGATAAAATAATGCTCTAGAGGTTTATTTCTTTTGGTTGGGGAAACCATCACTGTTCTTTGAAATCATTAAAGAAAAATGTTTCATTTTTTTCTCAAACACTGCAGCTTATTAAACCCTGGACAATTTCAAACACTTTGTTCCTGGAGTAGAAAAAAATTATATTTACTGTGCGTGTGTGTGTGTGTGTGTGTGTGTGTGTGTGTGTGTAGGAGGTTAGAGGACAACTTGCAAGGGTCAGTTCTTTCCTTCCATCATGTGGGTCCTTGGGATTGAACTCAGGTCTCAGCGGTTATTTTTATTTTATGCACATGAGTGTTTTCTCTGCATGTATGTAAGCTGTGTTGTGCAGTGCCTATGGAGAACAGAAGAGGACATTGGTTCCCCTGGAACTAGACTTGCGGACAACTGCTAGCCGACATATTAGATGCTGGGAACTGAACCTGGGTCCTCTGCAAGAGCAGACAGTGTTCTTAACCACTAAGCCTTCTCTCCAGCCCCTAGATTCTTAATTGAACAAAAATATTTTATGACTAGTGTGCGGCCTTAACTTGCAAGATTAACCAGTATATGGTTAATCGTGATTGTCAATTTGATTGGATTTGGAATCTCCTTGGAGACACATATCTAGGTGTGCCTGTGAGGGTATTTCCAGAGAGGTCATGGACGAAACAAATGGCAAAAGGACGAAGCCACCTGAGCCCTACTGTTCATCTCTCTCTGCTTTTGATTGTGGATGCCATGTGCCCAAATGCCTCATTTCCCACCAAGATGAATTGCATCCCCTTGAACCATGAGCACAAATACTTCCTTCCTTAAGATGCTGTTGTCAAATATTTTTTGCCACAGCAGTTAGAAAAGTAAATGATGGAGAAAATTGGTGCTGGGAGGAGGGTATTTGTCCCTTAACCCAAACCATATTGCCTGTGGGTCTTTGGAAATGACTTGTGGGAAGAATGTGGAAAAGTTTGTGGAGCGTCAGTTTAGAAAGGTTCTAGGATGCTCCAAACAGAGCTCAATGGGCCATTGTGGTGGGGCTTTGGAAGACCAGAGTGCAGAGAAACACAAGACAATGGAAGCCTGGCTCCTGAGGTTTCAGAGGGGAGTCGGGGCTTGTTAGGGAACTGGGTTAGAGGCTACTTGTGTTGTATTCTGGTGATGAATCTGTCTGCATTATGCCCTTTTCCTGAAAAATTGAGTGAGACTGAATTCAAAAGAAATGGACTAAGTTGTCTGGTATAGGAGATTTCAAAGAGCTTAAGGTTCAGGCTGTGGTATGACTGCTGCTTGTTGTGTTTACTGAGGCTTAGAAGAATTCTAAGCAAGAAGATAAAGAAACATGCAGTTTCAGACAAAGTGGTGGAGAAAGCAACTGTAACTGTGCCTATGATGAGCACCAGTACAGGACAGCCTTAGGGTCTGTGCTGGCACGACAGAAAGGCCCAGGAAAGGTCATTTGACCTGAGATGGCTACTGAAGGAGGGAAAGGGGTTCCCTGCTCTGAACTAGGAAGGGAAGTGTTAGGGAAGGGGTTTCCCAGGTTCATCCACCGAGGCTCATATAAGCCAGTACAGCTGTGGTAGAAAGGGGCCAGACTAGAGCTTCAGCTGGTGGCAGAACCTGCCAGCATTGTCCACATGGTGGTGGATTTACAGAAATGCAAATCTAAGACATATACAGTTGTGGAGACTGGGACCAAGATTTAGCCAGATTCCCTTCAAGGAGGCCCTGAGAGGCCAGTGTATGGAGCTATGAAAGTGAGCCTTTGTTACAATGGAGAACTCAGGCTATGTGTGCTGTAGATGGCAGAGCTGGAGAAGCAAGGCTATCCAAGGCTGCTGCGGCCCAGACGACACCACTAGGAGCTCCAGATGCTTGATAAAGAGCTGCAGGATTTTGTCTTCTGTGCTAGGTGTAGATCCTGCCTTGGTTCTGTCTTTCCTTGCTGCCATTGTGTATTGGAAGTATGTGGCTTGTTTGTGTGTGTGTGCTGGGGTGGAGGGGGTGTTCTGGCTTTTTGAGACAGGGTCTCCCTGTAGCATCAGCTACCAGCTAGCCTGGAACTCTCTATGTTGACCAGGCTGCCCTTGAACTCACTGCCTATCATTTAATTCTGATGTGCTCAGAGTTAAAAGATTGCCTTGAGTCTCCAAAGAGACTTTGGGTTTTTGAACAATTAATATTCTGAATTTCTGAGATTTTATGGACTTGTATAGATGAACTAAAATCATTTTGCATTAAGAGATAGTCGTGGGCCTTTGAGACCCAGGGGTGGAATGTTATGGTTAAAAGTGATGTGTTTGGGTATCAAGTTGACAAGAGATGAACTTGTAATGGGGAATCGTCACTGTTAACTGGACTGGATTTAGACTCTCCTAAGAAATACAACTCTGGGTCTGTCTGTTAGGAATTTTCCAGATAGGCTCAACTTGAGGGAAGATCTGCCCTGAATGTGGCCAGCTCCATGCATAGACTGGGCATAAAAAGTGAAGGAGGAAGGCAGCCAGAGACCAGTGCTCATCCGACTGTGGACAGGGCTGGACAACTTCCTTATATTCCACCAGCTGTATTTCCCTCTGCCATGATGCTCACATCCCCTCTTAAACTGATAGCTGAAAGAAGACCTCCCTTTCCTCAGGCTGCTTTCCTCGGGTGTTTTGTCACAGCAACGAGAGAAGAGACTCATACAGCCAGTCAACTAGCACATGCCTGTGGATGACCAGTGTGCTGGATAACTTTAGTGTCAACTTGACACACCTGGGTTGAGGGAGCCTCAATCGGGGAATTGCCTCTATTGGACTGGCCTGTGGCCATGTCTGAGGGGCATCTTCTTCA